ATGCAGAAAATATTTATGCAGCTCACAGCTCCAGGGTACAGTTGATTAAAAGAGATACCAAGTCAACAGAACCTTAAAGCAGCTAGAAGCTTTATATCCACATACAAAAAGCAGAGAAGGATGAATGAATACGTGCTGGTGCTGAGTTCACTTCTTCATTTTATACACATGAGTATCTCCTTGTCCCAAAAATGGTTCCTATCACAGTTAACATATGACTTCCCACATCAATCACCTTAATGAAGATAATGCATAAAAAACATATTAAAAGTTCAAGAGCCATGATGGTCAGATCAGGATCTCCATAACTCTGTGGTAACTTGATTATTTTAAGTTCTCATGCTCACCATCTCCCTCTTGACAGTGTATTAGTTTTATCTCTCCTGGTCTCTGCATCTTCAGAGTCCCAAGTACATACTCCAGTTTTCATACAATTAATGAGAACAAGGGATTGTAAAAATGGAGTGTACACAACTGACCTTAACAAAACAGCTGGGATACATAAGAAAAGTGTCTCCTCTCATGGATCTCAAATATTTCAAATAATTAATTGAGGACTAAACAAATATCTTTAATTGTGAGAATGCAAAGATTTATCAGCATTTGCTGGTGTTCTTCCTCCTCACACAGAAACAGCAAAGAGGGTAAGGTGGCCATGTCTGCTATTTTCACTGCTCCTTATTGCTTGCATTATGGAACTAACTGATCTTGGAATACAGGAATAAACTGGGATATCAAGGTATGCATTCAAGGGATTATACAATTCAATCAGCAAATGTAATAGAGAAGCCCTTTATTAAGAGAATATTTTTTGAAACTACATCAAGAGTGTCCCACCAGATAGTTCCTTTAAACACTAGACAGCAACATTTTTATAAATTAGCAGAAAACTCACAATGAGTGTGGGTAGTAGGATACATAAGAGAGAGTACAGAATTTGGGAGCATCATTTATATTCCGTTATCTTAGAATACAGAAATCTGAATTGTGTCCATTAATTTTTTGTTGTTCTTATTGAGTCAAATTCTATATTCATAGCAGTAAAAACTTCCACCAAAACAGATGTTCATAATAGGTAATGTGATGATTTATAATAAAGTAAAGTATGACAAGAAACTGGGGAAAGCAGAAGATATGTAAAGATCAGGACCAAACCACACTAAAGGGACAATAAATTCCCCTCTAAAATAGAGTCCAAGGAAAAATTCTTCAAAGTCCACAGTAAAATAGAGGGTATGAGCATTAATGTGGTGATGGAAGAGTTCTCCAACCCAACATTTTGATCCTTTCCTCCATCCAAAAAACATTTGATTCCTGGATCGTTTCTCATAATTCATGCTCATTTTAAACATTAAATTTTCTTGTAAAAAAACACTAAAGATTACCAAATTAATTTTTCAGAGACAGTAATATGCAAGCTTGTGGCCATCTCTTGTCTTCACTTCTAGGATGCAATCAAGGTCTTCTCTGGCTGGTGCAAGTCCCAAACAGCACAATCCCAAGTACTGTGAGAATCAAACCAGAAATGCCCATCCGGATGATGTTCTGCACTGTGTGATCTTGAGGCTGTGAGACTGGAGATTGTGGACAAACAGGTCAGGACCATACAACGCCACCATAATATATCTGTATTTCCACCCTGGGTAGCTCCGTTCTGTGTATTCAATCTGACCTTCGGTGTCCATGCCCAAACCAGAATTTTCCTGACCCACCTATTGTGACTTCTGACATACTTTGTGGTTGGCTGTTGGTCTTAGGCAATTGTGAGTTACAAAAGCATGATCAATGTGTGAAGTGCTCAAGAGAACTGATTCTTTTGTGAAGCTGTGCATTTTTATTTCCCAGAAAGGCATATTATACTCATGACAGCTATAAAAAATATCTGAAACAAACCATTTCTCTGCTATAGCAGGCTTTCTCCTGGGCTTTTGCTTGATTTCTTCAGCCTGACTATGCTCTGAGTTCAGAACTTGTGGCCAAAGTTCTTCTTTGGAATCAAGAGTATTGTTTTTCAGAAAGCTAAGATGGAAAATTACCCCCCTCCCAGATTAAAATAAAGAGGCCTTCCTATGATCCCAGCTCTGCTGTAGTAAAGAATCCAGGAAGCTAATTCCCCTGGAAATTGGTTTGCACTCCTTCACAAGCTGAGATGCCAAGATGTAGACATGTCTTGTCATCGGGGTCCCATGAATATGAGTTACACAAAATAATGACAGTCTGAGTTCTCTGCCTACATTCAAGTCACTCAATTCCCATGATGCTTCTGTTTAACATCTCATTCTATAATCATCACAGCATTAGTAGTACAAACAATGAGATCACAAGAACTTAAAGATGTGCTCTCAATGTCCATGAAGTAGAAATGTTCTCATTAGTAGATAAGCTAAATCATCAAAGAATTGGACACCAACATGGATGTAAAATATATTACTTAAACCTGTGTCTGTAGAGGTTATGGGCTCTAGATTAGAAACCATTACTGCCATATTCCTAAACCAATGTGATTTCGGACTTCATTCCAAGTGCTTATCCTTATATCCACAGGTAAGTTTAGCTCTGTCCCCTCATCAAAGATCTATATTTTTCTACAGATGAGGATGATTATAAAAATTCACAACTGGTCAAAACAGAAACAAGATGGTTTGGTGTGCCCAGTCCAAATGGGTACTCCTACAACACAAACTGTGTATATAAAACATAGGGAACATTGAGGAGGAGAGGTAGAAAGGTTACAACAGCCAGAGGCACATGATTACTGCTACACAATAGAGACTTCTAGGCAAGAGAGGGAAGATACACACGTGAAATTTCTAAACTATGGTTTCCTAAAGAAGACCAACATAATGGCCACCTGGATTCTATAGTCTCTTGCTCCTCTGTTTATCCTGGGGTAAGATGAAACTAACAAAATCAGATAGCAACTAGTGGACAACAGGAAGTGGAGAGAATCCACATGGTGAATCTGTGAAGTCTTCAGATAAAACCGTTTGGAGACAAGGCTAGAAAATGGAAGAATCAAAAGAATCTCAAGCTAGGCTATATGATGTGCATTTATGTGTTCGTGTGTGTGTTTTGTATAACAATAACAATTAAATATCAGAGGTCAAACTTAAATTTTAAAAGGGTGTGAAAAACACAGAAAGAGTGAGAGGAAGAATGGAAAAGGTAGAAATGATTTAAATGGAACACTCATATATTACTAAGTTACATAATATATATATAACCATATAAAATTGCATAGATTTCTGCAATTATAAATGCATGTGAACATAACAAAATAATATTATACAGGCAAATGAATAAGTTTACATGGAACCATGCAATTTACACTCCTAAGGTTACAACACAGTTTTACAGTGTCAGCAGTATGGGTTGTTGTAGACTCCTAAAAGGCAAAGATTATGATTCTTTGTTAACAGTTATAGAAAGGGTTTCTGGTGCCACACAGTGGAGTAAATGAGGATTCCTACCAGGAATCTTCTGGACTCCCATGCAGAAGGACAGATGATGATTAATTGAGAAAGAACAGTGTACTTCTAAATCTCTAGGTCAATTCCTAGGTCAATTATCCTGTCTAATTGAGCTCAAAGAGGTCAGGGATATCTCACCTGAGACTATGATCTCCACAGGGACACTGGGATGTGACAACAGGCAAGGGGATGAGCTTTGGGAACCAAAGCGTACATAGGAAACCTTAAGAGCTGAAGTCACAGCACTCATGGAGTATTCTGACTGATTTTGAGA